AAAGAAACCAGAAATGGAATACAAGAGAAGGGTACAAGAAACAGGAAACTGAACATACATCCCTTGTTAAATGCAAACGCAGAATGACTCCAGAGATAACTAGAAATGCCAAGGATGCAAAGTAATGTCTTTTTTCCTCTTGAAATGCACTCTTTATAATCTTTAGAAGCCTTAAATTGGTCAGAAAAAGAATGAACCTGGTAGAGTAAGACAAAGGGTACATGGTCAGCAAGCTCAGAGCCTTCGAGAACATCATAAGGAAGTCTCTGATGATCCTAGAGGATGGTAATAAAGACACAAATTGTATTTGCTTAACCTCCCATTTTCTGCCTTGCAACTGTGACTTTGCTTTTTAAATGACAGTACATTTTAATTAATGCATTATAATCAGTGTACAAGAAATTTGGGCTTTCTCTGATATTCACACTTAGTCAAACACTTTACATTGTGCCTCTTCAAAGCCAAAGCCTCACTTCCTGGTGGTAAAATTCTGATTGTAAGCAGAGTATCTAAGTCAAAAGATAAATTGCCTACAAAACTCAACACACTGAGATATGTCACTTCTGGGTAGAGATGATGAATTGAATACCGGCATTTACTTAAAATACTTTCATTATTCACTAATACCTACCATAGTATCCACAATGAGAACTTTTTTTTGGTAAGTCTTAAGCCCCAAATGGTCCCTGGAATTATGTGGCTGTCAAATAGAAAACTTTGGGAAACCAGGAAACCAAGTAGCTTCTTCAAAAGACTCATGGTGGGAATATTGCTATTGGCACTATGGAGCATGTTACCTATTCTGATTACATTAGAGAAGTGGTAGAATACAAATACATACCTCCAGTACAGTTATGAGCAGATAAGAAAGGGAATTCTGTGATTACCATAAAATAATATGTTTATTTTATGAATCAATTTGATTTCTCATCCTTGTCAATTTCTTATGCGAGTGTTAGGTCATTAATAGAAAATGAATGATTCCCTGAGAATTGGAATGAAAAAATTTGGGTGGATTCAGATGAATCTGAGTATCTGAACCTCCCCATAAATTTCTTTAAGACTTCCTCACTAGCAAATACTTCTCCTCAATCCCTCTCTGAGGAAGCTAGCTTCTCCTAGCTTGAGTATACTGTAATAACCTTACATTACAAGCGATGCTTATTTGCAAAAGATCCACCCATTCTCCAGACCCATAGTACCATCTGGTCCAACCTAATCAAGGGAAATGAGTACTAAGTCTGACATGAGAGGGGTCAGTTTATACTCTGAAATAATTGCAAAATGTAGTTAGCTTATACCAGCAGAAATTAAGATATATGAGCAGAAATGGAATATAAGTATATTTGTCCATTGTGGAAGGAAAATAACTTTGGAATGGCCAAATGTATCAATATGGGTGTACTCATGAGAGATTCTGAATTCCATATGTTAGCTTGAGCAAATGGGAAATGTTGCATAATTTGCTCACGAAAGCTGGACTCCATATTAGTCTACATCAAAGGAAGCTGAGATGTCAGCTTTTACTTGTTATAATGTAGAAGGATAAATCTGAAGGCTTAGGGGAACAGGAATGTTGGAGTAGATTTATAATGTGTGAGTGACTCACCCATCTCCTCATTGTGTGTCCTAGGAGAGCTCAGAGGACATTCTTTTCAAAGAAGCATGAAGGAGTATTTTGGTGAGGGAAGCATCATCACCTTGGAGACACCCTCTGCAGGATGGAATGATAGTGGGTTCTCTTGGGGAAATACCCTGCTATGCTGTCATGAATGTGTACTCTTAATCCTCCTTCTTTCCTTTCTCAAAGGGAGCTGGAGTCATCAGGTAGAGAAACTGTGCCTTTCAGAAAAGGAGGTAGGCTATTTGTGATGACGGAATCCTGATTCTGAGCCGACACAAATCTTGAGGGAGTCAAGTTGCCTTGAAATCCAGCAGTCACAGTGGGGACGTAGCAGAGCTGGGTAATAAATAGATTTCTGGCCTGACTCTGTTGCCTGGTGTATCCAGTGGGTCCACACATGTATCTGGATTTCATTTCCCATTTTTGCATATGCCATTAGGAGAGACAGACTTGGCAAGTGGCAGAATGACCTCATTAGTTAATAAACCAATATCCTTTCGTAAAACTGCCTGGAAATGTTCGCAATCTGTGTTCAACTGAGTTCACCATAACCTTTCTTCTCTTCAAAAGGAAACCATACCTTTCACCCATTCCAAATGTGATTAGAGCATACTTAACTGGATTATAAAATTGTGAGCACCCAAAAAGTTATATCTGTGGACATCGTTTAGGTGGGGGAAAAGCTTCAGTATCCTCTAGGTCTTTTTGTCTTCCTCCGTCTTGCAAATATTTCTAATGGGAGTGAACGTAAGCACATGTTAAATATTCTGAATTTGGAACAACTAAAGCAGTAGAGTGACACTGATTTTTCTAAATATAATTAAAAGGCTCTCATGGGCTATAGGGTTTTTTCCCCCCCAGTTTCTCTTCATATTGCAGAAAAACAATAAACAAAGTTTAATGTAATTTCTTTCAAATAGAGTGTGCATGATTCAATAAACACTAAGACCTAGTTAACACATTGTGTCACAAAATATTCCAATTATGAATCCATCCTTATATACTATCTCTTAAGAAAAAAATAACTTGTAATGCTATATTTGAAAAAATTTAAAGATGTGTGAAAACATATATAGTTTTCTAGAATTCCAGGACTGAGTAAGCAAGCGGAACTTTTGCTACTTCAGATCATATCGCATGGAGTATCAGTACACGGTAGATTGAAATGCACACAGGACAGGATACCAAATTCAAAATTCACTCCCAAATCTGGTCATTATGGATGCAGTGATTTCAGTACACTGCCTGCACTGATATCAAAGGCAACGATGTGTTAAAATACTAAGTTTTTTTAAATAAAAAATTTAACCTTTTCACCTCTACCTAATTATAAATGAGATGATTTGGAGCACATGGGAAGAGCTGGGAGTGGGGAAAGTGAGGTGGAGAAGCTGGCGGGAGTGTGAGTGCAAGGGTTGAGTGGCTATGCCCCACGTATGGATGGAATTGACCGAAGGACATAGTGCCCAGTCACAGTTTTGGGACAGGTAACTTTTTCAGGTTTTTTTTCCAAAGCACAGAGAAAGGGTAAAGATTAGTCAGAGGATTACAAGGAGTTGACATTTGTTCATGTTTTCTGAGATAATTTAAGTCAAAAGGGCATAAAACTGTTATGTGTCCGGCACTGAGATATGCTCTGAATACGCATAGTTTCAATTTATGCTCAGATCAGCCCACTAAGTTTCATTCTCTTTTAATTTTTGTAACTGGAGAAGCTGAGATCTGAGACATCCACACATAGCCAATTAGCAAATGGTTGAGCTGGGACTCAAGGCCAGGTGGTCCTGCCTCTAAATCTCAGGGTTTCCCTCCATCCACTTGGCTGTCTTCCAAATATAATTCTTAGAAAAATGTGACACACATCTGATATAAAACCACAGTTTACATTAGTCCCTACAGAGATGAGTGTAGAGCTCACTTTTTATCTAGTGACATCAACTTAAAAGGAAGTTCCAAAATGGCAAAAAACTAAAGCCTGACTTTTCACATTAAGTGAATTGTCTTTTATCTGGTCATTATGTATACACAGAGAATCAGAACTAATATGTCTCTTTTTAAAACCTGATATTAACTTAGCAAAATAGAATATATCAAACCATATTCATAATCTGCTGAATAAAACCTAGCTCCTGCAAAAGCAATAATCAGGGATCATATGTATAAAAAGAAAACATCCTTTTTGACCAATATATTAGAAGCAAAGCACATTGGGAACAATGGAAATTTTTACTTAATTTTGAGTCTGACAGTATACAAACTTATTTTCATAGGCTCTTGAACTGGAAATAATAAACGAAAAAATACCTCAGTAGAACAGGTGCATCTGACTGTTTGGAAATTGCCATCCCTAAAGAGAGGAAAGCCACTGTCAGAAGATGCTGAGGTTAACAATAGATTCACAATTGTGGTCCCATTTTGCATTTTGTCAACAAGTGCATATGTATACTACTGGTAGTGCTGAGGGGTTTTTAGCTGTTAGATGCCAATATTTCAAACACTGAACTTTCAGATTGTCCACTTAGGTAAAGAAATGGAAGAGGTGAGATGGAGGCGAGACTTACAAATTGACTAACGCAGGTTTCAGATTTGTAGAGGGAGAAAACTTGCATATTTTCTTGCCAGGTTAGGTTAATTTATAGATAAAATTTTGATGGCTTTTATGAATTTAAGAATTGACCTGTTTTTAAAGTAACAATTTTTCTTAAAAGTACTTCAGCTGACTCAAAGAGAACTCCTCCCCATCAGATTCAGGAGAAAAAAAAATATAGAATTGCCTTGGATGATTTCAAAAATTTTAGGTTATTTCCCACCACATGTTCACAACATGAATAAAAGAAAGCTTTAGAATGTGAAAAATGAACCATATATAGTTGTTGTATCTTCCTATGGAGTATATCTTCCTTTCCAGCTTCATTGGAAAGTTTGTGAATAGTTTTAGATTGACAGGAAAAAGTAAGAAGACAGTACAGAAAGTTTCCAAACACTGCACACAGTTATTCCCGTTACTAATGGAGAAAGGAAAATATCCTGGGTCCCCAGATCACTAAGCTAAAGGGAAAAGTCAAGCTGGGAACTGCTTAGGGAAAACCTGCCTCCCATTATTTTCAAAGCCATCCCTCTGCTCGCTGAGATCAATGAATATCTGATTACCTCCTTTGGAAAAGCTGATCAGAAACTCAGAAGAATGCAACCATTTGTCTCTCACCCATCTGTGACCTGGAAGCTGCCTCCCACCTTCCAGTTGTTCTACTTTTGCTTCTAGTTGTTCTGCCTTTCCAGACCGAACCAATGTTCATTTTACATATGTGGATTGATGTCTCACATCTCCTTAAAATGTATAAACCAAGCTGGGTGCTCTGACCACCTTGGTCGCATGTCATCAGGTCCTCCTGAGGTCGTGTCCTGGGTGCATGTCCTCAACCTTGGCAAAAAAACTTTCTAAATTAACTGAGACCTGTCTCAAATTTTCGTGGTTTACACTAACATCCTACATCAGTATGGTTCATTTGTTATAATTAACAAACCAATATTGATACATTGTTATTAACCAAGTTCGTACTTTATTCAGATTCCCTTAGTTTTTAACCTAAAGTTTTCTTCTCTTCCAGGATCCCCTCCAGAAGATCACGTTACATGTCATGTCTCCTTAGGGCTTTTCTGGGCTGTGACAGTTTCTCAGACTTTTCTTGTATTTGATGACTTAGAAGTTTTGAGGCATTCTGGACAAATATTTTGTAAGATGTTCTTCTATTGGAATCTGATATTTTCTCATAATTAGAGTGGGATATGGGTTATTGGGAGAAAGATCTCAAAGATAAAGTTGTCACTTTCATCCTATCACATCAAAGCTACATACCACCACCATCACATATAATTGTTGAGGCTGACCTTGATCACCCAGCTGAGGTTGTGTCTGTCAGATTTTCTTCGCTGGAAAGTTACTTGATGTTCCCCTTCTCTATTCTATACACTTTGGAAGGAAGTCACTGTACACAACCCACACCTGAAGAGTGAGGACTTTGTCTAGGGCTATACCACCCGGAATGCGCCCAGTCTCGTCTGAAGAGTGAGGATATACATGTCCATCCTTACATGAAGGTAAGGGTGCCTACATTAATTATTTGAAATTCTTCTGCATATGAGATTTTCGCTTCTCCTAAACTTCTTATTTAATCATTTATGTATATCAGTGTGGACTCTTGTATATGTATTTTATATTTTGGGTTATAGTCTAATGGTACTTGATTTATTTTGTTCGAATTGTCTCAACTTTGGCCATTGGGAGGTTTTTCTATTGACTTCTGGGTCCTTTGATGAACTCCCAATCACTCTGTGTGTGTATACGTGTCTGTCTGTGTATGTGTCTATCTGTGTATGTGTGAGTGTGTGTGTGTGTGTGTGTGTGTGTGTGTGTGTGTGTGTGTGAGAGATAAAACATTTCCTTACTTTCTGGCAGTACAACATGTTCAAGGGTCATCTTGTATAGTTTCAGGGCTAGCCATTTCTCTAAGGAGCACTGGTTCATTTAATTGGAGAATGAGAATTAGGAATCCGGGTTTGGGTGCTAAGACTTGGTTGCTACTGGGGTGCCGTTTCTAATGAGCTCTCTCAGCTGACAGAAAGAAAATACATGTGTGTATATTAATCCATGAATACCCAGAATCTATAAATATGTCTATCTGTAACCATCTGTATCTAAATTAAGCAAAATCTGAGCACATCCTGAAGTCTCCAACTCTAATCCGTTCCAATATGGATCATTCTAGCCTTGTTCCATTGTCTTTCTCTAAATCCCCACTCCCAAAGTAAGCAACTTGCCTCCCACCATCCACCATCTACTTAACGTTTCAATTCCAGAATACATGTATGGCAGTGTCAGAATTGTTAACCAATGCCCCAGTACTGCCTTGGAAAATTACTTTATCAACTACCTATAATGGAGTGCTTACCTGCAGTTCTTTTGGCTTTAGTCTTACAGGTTACTTAGGTTGATCCTTTTCTCTCATGTCCCCTTAACTCATGTTATTTCATACATTTGAAATACAATTAGATTCTCTCATGACAGTCTGCATTCCTTCTTGGAATGCTCAAACCTCCTATTTTTAAAATGTGCATATATTAAGGTTTACTCTTTGTGCTAGAAAGTTCTATTGATTTTGACAATGTATAATGTCATGTATTTACCATTTCATTATCTCACCAAATAGTTTTACTGCTCTAAAAATTCCTTGTGCAGTCCTTACCTCTTTTCTCCAAAGCCCCGAAAACCATTGATTTTATATTGTCTATATAGTTTTCTCTTTCCCAAAGTGCCATGTCCTTGGAAATACACAGTATGTAGCCTTTTCAAACTGACTTTTTTTTTTACAACTTAGCAATATGCATTTAAGACTAATTCTGGGCCGGGCGCGGTGGCTCATGCCTGTAATTCAAGCACTTTGGGAGGCCAAGGTGGGCAGATTACGAGGTCAGGAAATCGAGACCATCCTGGCTAACACAGTGAAACCCCGTCTCTACTAAAAGTACAAAAAATTAGCCGGGCCTGGTGGTGGCGCCTGTAGTCCCAGCTACTCGGGAGGCTGAGGCAGGAGAATGGCGTGAACCCGGGAGGCGGAGGTTGCAGTGAGCCGAGATAGCGCCACCGCACTCCAGCCTGGGGAGACAGAGCGAGACTGCACCTCAAAAAAAAAAAGACTAATTCTATTCTTCTGTGGAATTGTAACTCATTTCTTTTGTTACTGCAGAATAGTATTTTATTGTAGAAGTGTACTCTATTTTGTGTCTCCATTCACCTATTGAAGACAATCACGTTTGCTTCCGGTTTTGTCAATTATGACTAAGAATGCCATAAGCATTCATTTTTAGAGTTTTGATGTGGAAGTAAGTTTCCCACTGAATCGTATAAATACCTAGAAATGTGATTGCTGGATTGTTTGATAAGACTATGCTTACCTTTGTAAGAAATGAACAAAACAAACAATTGTCTTCCAAAGCTGTTGCATCATTTTGCATTTCCACCAGCAATCAATGAGAGTTCTTGCTCCATCTTCTCATCACAAATCCATACTTTCAGTTTATTTTATTTTATCCATTCTAGTCATTGCAGAGGTATCTCGTTTTTCTTTTAATTTGCAATTCCCTAATGTCAAATGATGCTGAACATATTTTATATGCTAATTTGCTCTCTGTGTGTCTTCTTTGGTGGGGTGGTTTCTGCTCAGAACATCATCCATGTCTTAACAGGGTCATTTGTTTTCTTACCGTTTAGTTTTCTTTTTTTGTGTGTGGTAAAAAAAAAACATATAAAACTACTCTCTTAACCATTCTAAGTGTAAAGTTTAGTAGGATTAAGTTTATTCACACTGCTATGCCATCAGTCTCTGGAAACCTTTTCACTGCGTAAAACCCAAACTCTATCTTGTTTCGGTTGTTCTCATTAAACAATATAGTTGTTCTCTATATAGATGTTCTCATTGAAGAACAACTTCCTACTTCTCCTTACCTGACCCCTGGCAACACCATTCTACTGTTTCAATGAATCTGACTACTTTAGATACTTCACATAAGTGGGTTCATATCATATTTTATCTTTTTGTAATTGGTTTATTATACTTAACATAAGGCCTTTCACGTTCACACTTGCACGTGTCAGAATGTCCTTCCTGTATAAGGCTGCGTAACATTCCATTGTGTGTTCAGGCCACATTTTCTTTATCCGTTCTACTCTTGATGGATGCTTGGGTTACTTCCACCTTTTGGCTACCGGGAATAAGGCTTCGATGAACATGAGAGTGCAAGTATCTCTTCAAATCCCTGTTTTCAGTTATTTAGGGTATGTACTCAGAAGTGGATTTGCTGGATCATATGGTGATTCTGTTTTTAAATTTTGAAGAATCAGCATACTCTTTTCCATAATAGCTGCATAATTTTACATCCCCACCAACAATGCAGAAAGGTTCCTATTTCTCCACATTCTTGCCAACACTTATTTTCTGTTTTTCGTTTGGTTGTAATAGTCAACCAAACGGGTGTGAAGTGACACCTCATTGTGGTTTGACTTGCATTTTTGTAATGATTAGTAATGTGAACATTTTTTATTTGCTAATGATCCATTTGTATATCATCTTTGAAGAAAGGTCTGTTCAAGTACTTTACCCATTTTGTGATTGTGTTATTTGATTTTTTTTTCTTGTTAAAGCATAGGAGTTCTTTATATATTCTAAACATTAGCACTTTAGTAGATATGTGATTTGTAAATATTTTATTCCATTCTATATGTTGTTTTTTCACTCCATTGATTGTGTCCTTTGATGCAATTAAACTTTGATGAAATCCAATTTGTTTACTTTTATTGCCTGTGCTTTTGGTGTCATATTCAAGAAATCTCTGTCAAATCCAATATCATGAAGCTTTTTCCTCATGTTTTCTTCCAAGGATTTTGTAGCTTTAGGTGTCTAGGTTTTTATCCATTTTGAGTTAACTTTTAAAAAGAATGTATTGTGCATATCTAAGGCATACAACATGATGGTATTGTTGATACGTAAGATGAACAAGTATAAAGATCAAGTGTACAACACAAGGATCTATAGCCAATAATAATGGATTGCATTCAGTATGTTTTGATGAATGAGTAGATTTTAGCTGCTCTTGCCACACACACACAAAAATCAGTTAATTTTTATATGTGGTATAAGGCGAGGGTCCAACTTCATTATTTTTAATATGAATATTTACTTTTCCCAGCACCGTTCATTGAGAAACTGTTCCTTCCCCATTGAATGGTCTTGGCTCCCTTGTCAAAAGTTATTTAACTATATGTGAGAGTTTATTCCTGGGCTACTTTTTATTTATTTATTTACTTATTTATTTTTGAGATGGGTTCTCACTTTGTCACCCAGGCTGGAGTGCAGTGGTGCAATCTCAGCACACTGCAACTTCCGCCTCCCAGGTTCAAGCGATTTCCCCATTTCAGCCTCCCAAGTAGTTGGGACTATACCAGCTCTCTATTTTATTCCATCCATCTATATGTGTGTTGTTATGCCCATACTACAATATTTCAATTGCAGTAATCTTATAATAAGTTTTTAAATCAGAAAGTGCAAATCCTCCAAGTTTGTTCTTCATTTTCAAGATTGTTTTCACAATTTGGGGTTCCTTGAGTTCCATATAAACTTTAGAATTTTTTTTTTATTTCTGCAAGAAACATGCTATTAGAATTTTGATGAAAACTGTATTAAATTTATAGATGGTTTTGAGTAGTATTGTCTTATTAAAAATATTGTCTTCCAATCCATGAACATGAACAATCTCTCCATTAGTTTATCTCTTTCGGAAATGTTTTGTAGTTTTCAGTGTACAAGTCTTGAAACTCCCTGCTTAAGTTTATTCCTAAATATGGTGCTTTGTTCTTTCTAATGCTATTGTAAATTAAAATGTTGAATTTTATTTTTAGATTGTTCATTGTCAGTATATAGAAATACTAATTTTTGGGTGTTTAGTTTATATAGTACAAATTTATTACATTTTATTAATAGTTTTTCCTTTTGGTGAATCATTAGAGCTTTCTACATAAGGTCATGTTACCTGTGAACAGAGATAATCTTCCTTCTTTATTATTTATTTTGGTGACTTTTATTTCTTTTTCTTGCCTAATTGTTCCAGCTATTTTTGAGTTTTATGAGTGGTTTGTATATTTTGGACACAAGTCCTTTTTCAGATTTTTTTTTCTACAAATATTTTCTCCTGGTCTGTGGTTTGTATTTTCATTTTCCTCACAGTTTAATTTTTAGAAGCCTTAGTTAAGCCCAACTTACAAATATTTTCTTCCATGGATCATGTTTTTGGTATTCTATTACAGAACTCATTGCCAAAGCCAAATTCAGCTAGATTTTCTCTTGTTTTCTTATAGAACTTTTACAATTTTGCATTTTGCTCTTAGGTCTATGATTCATTTTGAGTTAATTCTTGTGACGAATGTCAGATCTATTTCTAGAATTCGTGCTTTTTGCTTATGAATGTTCAATTGTTCCAGCATCACTTGTTGAAAAGACTACATTTTCTCCATTGAATTACCTTTGCTCGTGTGTCAAAGATCAGTT